ACCAAGGTATCCACTCAAAAATAATCGATCACGACGTCAAAATATACTAACCGATTTTCATGGCGTAATCGATAAAACCGGGTTCTCAGGTGCTGGTCGTCCAGGGCGACAGCGCGTTCGGCTTCAGCGGCATGGAGCTCGAAACGATTGCTAGGTGAGCGCAAGTAAACAGCGAAAAATCTAGGAACTTTAAAAAATAATTTAACAAGTCAACCTGGCGTTTAAACTACTGAAAAAATTAATGATAGCATAGGAAGGCCAGTTTTAGAATAAAACTGAACTTAACGATTTTGCAAAAAAATCCTAGCTGCAAAAACGAAATTCCATAGTTCAAACCGGGCTCCAAACCACTAAAAAAATTAAATTTGACGATAGCTTAGAAAATCCCATTTAAAAAAGGGTAAATTTAACGATTTAAACCGGGCTCCAAACAACAAAAAAAATCTAGATACAAACTGCCCGTGGTGACGGTAATCCTGAACAATTCTGGGATCTACCGTGGATTGTCGCCTGAAGATATGGCATCTGTTGATGGAGATCCTACCCTCCAATTCCCCGTTCTATCGCTCAGGTGAGCGGGGAGAGATCATTGGGCCCTGAAACATGGAACCTAAACGATGACAAAATTTCCTCTAATTCATTACCCGAAGCCTAAAACAAAAAATACTAAAACTAAAGCAATCCAGCCCGAAACGTAAAAACTTTATAGCTTTTTATTAACAATAGAAAAAATATCGGGTTTTCGACCAAAAATCGCCGATTTTCGCCCAAAATTGCATCTAAAAGTTCTTTTCGAAGTTTTGGTAGTGGTTTTTCCACTGAAATATAGTGAAATTTTGCTCAAAACGCGATTAAAACACTTACTATTTTGCAAGGCCATTATGGAACTCCAGAAAAAAGTTGATCCCCCTCCCCGATAATGCGAAAGAACCAAAAAAAAAAGCCAAAAAAGCGCAACAAACACGAAAATGACATTTTCAGCGCGGAATGCCGTTACGACAAAATGTGCGAATCGCTTGGAGGGGTCGGATACACGGCTAGAACGGTCCCCGAAATCAAACAGGTACGCAACTCGTCGCTTTCCAGTTCCTAAAACTTAAAATAACCACCAAGATTCCCTCTGATTTAGTGCCTTGCCAAATCATTCGAAGAGCCCTCCCGCCCCTCCCTCATCAATGTATTCATCGCCACCGACAGCGAGCGAAAGAAACAAGAACACAACTGGCTCACAAGGTCCAAGATGTAGACCTGAAATTTGTGCGGGCAAACTCGTTTTTTTTTTGTCTAAAATTAACGTCGATAAATTGTAGCGAAAAGTCGCTAGTTTTACTTTATTTAAAAAGACCCCTGAATTATGCGAAAAACCCTCGACATACATGGGGACCCTAAAACGCTAAAAAGCTCCTGTACGGCAGCCTCTAATAATAAATCACCCAAATCCAGTTTTTTTTAAAGAAGTCTTTTTTTTTTTTCTAAAAAAATCCCATTAAATAAAGGCAAAAAAAAAAATTTTTTAAAAAAAAAAACAAAAAAAGGTGAAAAAAAAAATTTTTTTTAAAAAAAAGGAAAAAAGGTTGGTATTGAAAGGTTTTTTTTTTTTTTTATATGAAAATTTTAATTTTTAAAATTTTTAAAGGGGCTAAGCCGAAACAAACAAAATCAGCAAAAATAGGGTAAAAAAAGCGCCTGCAGCAAAGCCTCTCCTAAATAAACGTCGACAGCATCGCATTTTCTGGATAGAATAAAAATAAATTGTGCGCACGGCTTTGTTTTTAAAATAAGCCGCTGCCTAAGCTACAGGAATACAACAAAATACCTGCGTCCCCTGCCAGAAAAATTAACTATCAAAAACGAAGAAACGTAAATTTCACGGCTTTAAACGCTTGAACTTTCCGGCCTTGTTGCTAAAGATTTACTAGCATCTAAAGCGACCAAAATTAAGCCTGAAAACCATTGCGAAATGTTCCAAGGATTCAATGAACACTCCGAAAAAATCACGGCTTTTCAAAACCTGTTTTCTGAAACACAAAACTCTGTTGCACATGATAAAATTTATTCAAAATCGAGCGCGTAAATGGTAAAAAATGCACTGGTAAAAAGAACTATTCCTCATTTTTCATCAAATCTTCGCCCAGTTCCGTGAGATGGGTAGCCAGCTGGCGAGCAACAGGAATGTAGACCTCACAGTGCTTCTCGAACTTGTCGGCCGCCTTGTCCACCTTGGCCACGATCTTTTGAGCGTCCCCGTGCTTGGTGCAGACTTTGATCTCGGGCAAACGGTCCTTTCCCGCCTTCAACACTTTCTCCACAGCATCGTCGATCGTCGCTTGGATGTATTTTAGGTTTCCATGCAGACCTTCGAGATTCTCGGTGTACTTCTTATCGCTTCGCTGCTCCATTTGGTCAAGTTCGATGCCGAGAAGCTGTACGACAGCATGTTCGCGATGAGAAACGAATGAGCAACTGCCGCAATTGGTCGAGTCACAGTCTTGGCATTTGAAGAGCCGCTCCACCGGCTGCTCGATGCCACAGTCCGAGCAGTTTTGCAAGGCTTTGTTCTTTCGATCCTCCTCCTTCTTGGCTCCAGCGAGATCCCATTTCCTTCGTTTTCTCCCTCAATTCCGCCAATTCATTGCTTGCCTTCACGATTTCATGAGTGAACTGTGACAGTCGAGCGTCAGGATAACACTCAGATCCCATCGTGGTAATGTTGCACTTTTTACAGCGAATGCCGTCCGTCGTCTTCGGGCGGTAACAGCTCAGGCAATGATAATGTCGACATTCGAGGAGAAAAACGATGGCTCCTTCGAATACTTTGATACTCTTTTCACATCCGACGCAGAGTGGCTCGTTGATGGGCAGAGTATATTCGTATCCATCACCCGTCTTTTTGAATGCTGGTTGATTGAGGAAGTCCATCATGCCACGATTCATCGGGGTGTCACCGGGGAAGCATGTGAGACACCAGGAAAGGCAAAGGTTCTTGCCGTATCCAGGCCTTCTCGGCTCCCCCTCCTTGCAATCGAACGGCTTCTCACACCTGGTGCAGTTGAAAGCCTCCGTCAGCATCGTCGTTTACCTGGAATTAAAATATTAAGATGAAGATAGCTCCGTGTAGAACAATAATATAGAACAATTGAAAAGTACTACGTTGAATTTTCAAAAACCTGCTCTACGCGAACCCTCGCCATAAATAGCAGCAAAAAAGGTGAAAAAGCGCCTGCTGCACAGCTTCTCCTAAATAAACGTAGGCAACTTCGCATTTTTGGATAGAATATTAAATCTTCTACTAAATTGGGCGCACGACCTGTTTCAAAAAAATTACTAGCATCTCAAGCGACGCAAATTATGTCTGAAAAACCATTACGCAATGTTCCAAGGATTCAATGAAAGCACCGAAAAAATAACGGCTTTCCAAATCCGTTTTCTGAAACACAAAAGACCGTTGCACATTATAAAATTTATTCAAAATGACAAATCGAGCGCGTAAAAAAACAGCTAAAACACACGCAATTTAAGAGGCCGACAATCAAGTAAACAAAGCTGACTAGTCCTTATTTTTCATCAAATCTTCGCCCAGCTCCGTCAAACAAGTAGCCAATTGGCGAGCAACAGGAATGTAGACCTCGCAGTACTTCTCGAATTTGTCGGCAGCATCGTCCACCTTCACCACGATCTTTTGAGCATCGCGGTGCTTGGTGCAGGCCTTGATCTCCGCCAAGCGCTCCTTTCCGGCCTTCATCACTTTCTCCACCGCCTCGTCGATCGTCGTTTGGATGTATTTTAGATTTCCATGCAGACCTTCGAGATTCTCCGTGTACCTTTTGTCGCTTCTCTGCTCCATTTGATCAAGTTCAATGCCGAGAAGCTTGACAACAGCGTGGCTATGGTGAGAATCGAAGGAACAGACACCACAGAGGTCCTTTTGACAGTCTTTGCAGCTATAAAGGTACTCGATTTCTTGCTCCCGGCCGCAATCAGAGCAGTCTTTGATGGCTCCCTTCTTTCGATCCTCCGCCTTCTGACGATTTCTTCAATGGCTTCCTGAACGCCGGTTTTCCAGACTTCAGCCGCCTTTTCTCCTTCCACTCTGCGGTTGTTTTCCATGATAGACGTAAATACCGCCACTAAAGTTGTCCGGGCAAGCAGTCCGTTCAGGTCAGCTCCGACGACGCTGCACGTCACGAGAACCCATGCCCTTTTTCTTTCGCTTGGTAATAGCAACCGTGGCATAGATAATGACCGCATTGACCTAGGAAGGCGATTGCGCCCTCGAAGACTTTAATGTTCCCTTGGCATCCGAAACATTTTGGCTCGTTGATAGGCAGAGTATATTCGTATCCAGCATCCGTCATTTTGAAAGCTCGCTGATCCAGGAAATCCATCAGACCTCGATGTGAGCAGCGAAGGGTAGAGGAGCAACTGCGGCACCGGGCCCCTCCGTATGCTGCATCGAACCAGGGGGATTTCGGCTCTCCCTCCTTGCAACCGAACGGCTTCTTGCAACCCTTGCAGTTGAAGGCTTTTGTGAGCATCATGGCTTTACCTGGAATTCAAATATTACTATTAACTTCCCAGACATTCAAAAAATCAGGAACTTAAGCCCGCTTTACAGCCCAAAAGCCGAGCGAATGATCAAACGTATTTTCACGAGACAGCCGCCGCCCGGATATCCAAAGCCGGCCAAGCACAGGCCAACATCCGTAAGCCCAAGGTATACGCGACGATCGTTGTAATCTGCTGTGCATTTTCCGACGATACACAAAATAGGCACCGATATTTATGTAATTTTAAAGATTCGCAATGAAAACAGAGGGCGAGACGAATGAGGAGGAAAGAAGAAGAAAAGACTGCGAATAAACCGGCATCATTTGGGGAGGGCAAAGAAGAAATAAATATTCACTCGATCGATCAATCAATCAAATCACAAACACACAAAAGAGAACAAGCACAAGTCATCGTTTTTTTTAGAAAAAGCATTCAATGAGGGGGAATATTTAATGGATGGCGGAGACTTGTTCGAGATTCTTGTGCACCATCTCTTCCTTCAGGATCAGATGCGAGACCTGGAAAATAGAAAAGTAAATCGAAATCGTCTGGTAAAATGACCTTGTTGAGGGTGTCGGTCAATCGTCGCACATTGTCGGCCCATTGATCGAGATGGTCGACGTGTGCCTATTTATGGAGAAGTAAAAATCCTGATCGATTAATGTACCTTCTTGGCCTTCAGATTGACGATACGATTCGGGCGATCGATCTTCGCATTCGGGATCATGCCGTTGACGATCAGATTGCACAGGAATTGTTCCATCTCCTAAAACAAACGAAGATTAACAACGATCTGGCGACGTACAGCCACAGGGAAATCGAGCAGCTCGGCCAGGCGGTCGAACGTGATCTGCGTGTAGTACTTCGACACCATGCGCAGGTTCTGAAAAGGCCAAAATAGCTTTAAAAACATTAGAAAAGCTTACGTGTTCTCCAACGCGTACGTGCAGATCCTCCCAACGTTTGTTGCCATTGGCCGAGTCGTCGAAAATCTAAAAATAAAGATCCAACGCAAATTTTGATACAAACCCCAGTGGCAGGATTGGCGGGGGTGCCGACACGAAGGAGTGCTTGGTACGTCTTGCCCAACTCGGTCCAGCTGATGATCTCCTGGTTGATGAACAGCTCGAGGAATTTCTGAAATTCAAGCAAATTATTGAAAGTCCAAAAACCCCCCTTATTCTGGGGGTGGTCCCCAAATCCCCCTTTTAAAAAGGGGGGGGAGGGGTCCCTTTTTTTTTTTCCGTGGAGGGCGAAAAACAAGAAGAGGAGGGGACGCCCAAGGTCGGTGGGTTTTTTTTTTTTTCCCCGAGAAGTTTTGGGTTTTTTTTTTTTTTGTTTTTTGTGGGGGGCGGGCCAAAAGATTGATTTTTTTTGGGGGGGGGGGTGATCATCAACTCGTAGAACTTGAGCTTCAGATTTTGCACCTAAATTGGAAGAATAATCGCTTTGAAATGAGCCCCAACCTGATCCTCAACAGGTTCCTTGGTGAAGAACTTGGTGCTGATCTTCTTGGCAATGATGCTGGCACGAACGTAGTCTTCACGAGCGACAGATAGTCGCATCTGTTCCAGAAGGAATTCCACCTCAAAATCACTTTTCCAAAAAAGAAAACAACTGAATACCCTCTCCTTGACCTCCATACTGCCGTACGTCTCGACCTGGAGCTCGAGAAGCATCGTCGCCGCCTCCTCCAGTTTTCCTACAAAAATAGAGCTATTAAGAGGAATTCGTAACAAGAGAAACCTTGTGCCTCAAGCTTCTTGACGACATACGACGTCAAACGAGCCCGTTCCACTTCCACGTAAATCTAATAAAATGAAAATTATAGGTTTAAAATGCTTTGAAAAACCTTTCCAGCAGTGACAGTGCGGAGTGTCTCGCTGAGCTTCATCCTCAATTCTTCAGTTGGCATCTTTTCAACCATTTGACAACAGCTGCGAACCATTCGAGCGATGGCCACCTTGATGAGAAGCCGCTTCTTCGACAATGCCAGAATTGTCTCGTTTAGCAGATCCCATTGTTTCCCGTCAAAGCACATCCTACAAAAAAGAGGAATTATCTTTGAAAGTAGCATAATACTGACTGGACCATATGTTGAACGACGCGGGCATTGCTCTTCATATCACTGCCGAGACGCGACTGCTTCTCCAGTGTGTTCAACGACTCGACAGCACCCGCCACGTTTCCAGTCTGAAAAGCGGAAATTGAGAGGAATAGAATTCTCTACCTTGGCAAGAATATCGGCATTTGGGAGGGCGGCGTCGACATCTTTGGTGTAGTCGTACTCCATCTTCAGAAGACGGCCATCGCCCACCTGAAAAAATGAATGAAGCCTGAAAGGATCTGATACCTATGCGGCGAGCTGGGCCAAGGAATCCGTCCTTCGACATGGGGCCCGACGAGCAGCTCGGTGCGCTGCTTCGGCATTATCCTGCAAAAAAGGTGGTAAAAAAAAACAAATGAACGAATGGAAAGAAATCAGAAAAACAAATCAAATCAATATAAATGTTTAAAAGTTCCGAGAAACTCCGATTTGCTAAGGAGGCCGATAAAACCTTTTAGTAAAATGGATAAATCAAAATAATATTTAAAACTAGTAGTAGAACGGATACGGAGCGAAACCCAATTCCTAAAAAAGGAGCGACTATGAAGATTAATCTGGGCAATCAACCTCGATGCGAAAAAAAAACAAATCATTTCGAACGTCCAATAAATTTATCCAGTGCGACCAGTAAGCAACAAGAGCAAAATAAATACAGAGCTCGTTTCATTTTCAGCTTTTCATCAATTCTTCGCTGAGTTCGGGCAGTCGAGTGGCCAATTTGCGGCCAACGGGAATATATTCCTCGCAGTGCTTCTCAAAATCCTCAGCGGCTTTCTCGACCGTCATCACGATCCTCTGAGCATCATCGTGGATCACCTGCTTCGTAATCTGAGCTAAACGATCCTTCCCGGCGGCCAAGACCTTCTCCACAGCTTCATCGATCGTCATCTGGACATGTTTCAGATTGCCGTGCAGCCCGGTTAGCGTTTCCGTGTACTTGTTCTCGTGTTTTTGCTCCATTTCGACCAGGACAGTTCCCAGCAATTTGACAACGGCATGCCCTTGATGCGAGTCGAAACAGCAATCGCCGCAGTTGATCGTCTTGCAATCGTCACATTTGTAGAGACGCTCGACTGGTCGTTCGATGCCACATCCCGGGCAGTCCCTCACCGCCCCGGACCTTCGATCCTCTTCCTTCATTGCTGCGATCGCATCGATTGTGTCCTGTGCTACTTGATGACCTTTCAAAAAATGGGCAAACGATAGCAAAACATTGTCCATCTGACAGCGGATCGTTGGGCCAGAACCGATAGCGCACGTCGCGCAGGTGAAACATTTTCCGTCGAGCCGCTTGTTATTACAACCGTGACATAGATAATGTCCACACTTGGCGATGAAGGCACCGAGTCCTAATATCACTTTAATTTCCTCTTGACAGCCGATACAAGGTGGATTTTTGATGGGCAAAGTGTAATCGTATGCCTTGTCCGTCTTCTCAAATTCCGGCTGGTCGAGGAAGTCCATCAGGCCCCTGACTACCACATGCGTGTCTCCGTAGCAAGTGCGGCACCAGGTGCGGTTGTGCATTTCGACGTAGCCGGGTGTCCTGGGCTCTCCCGATTTGCAATCATACGGTTTGTTGCAACTGACGCAGTTGAACAGATCAGTGAACATCGTTGGCCGCCTGGAAATAAAGCATTAGAACGAGTACGGAATTTTTGTAAGAACTTTGAAGTTTTTAGTTAAAATGGTCAAAGTTAATATTTTACAAAAAGTCATATAAAGCTTGGTGAACATCAGCATTCAACTGAACTGCACAGCAATTTCCCTACATCTGGAAAGACCGCAAAACGGCGAAAACCTAGCGCTAAAAACGCTTGATGAAAAGCGAAGAAAGTCTAAAACTGTATATCCTTTATTTTCCAACGAGACGGCCAACGGCAAGGTTAATATTCACAGGTATAAGATTAATATTATTACATCGAGTATATTCTATTCCACATCTTTCGACAACTCCTCTCCCAGTTCCGTCAAACGAGTAGCCAGCTGGCGAGCCACAGGAATGTAGACCTCACAGTGCTTCTCGAATCTGTCGGCAGCATCATCCACCTTGGAGACGATCTTTTGAGCGTCCTCATACTTATTGCAGTCCTTGATATTGAGCAAACGGCCCTTTCCAGCGACGATAACCTTGGCCACAGCCTCGTCGATAGTCGTTTGGATGTATTTCAGGTTTCCATGAAGGCCTCCAAGGGTTTCCTCGTATTTCTTGTCGTTATGCACCACCAGTTGGGCGAGCTCAATGCCGAGAAGCTTGGCGACAGCATGTCCATGGTGAGAATCGAAGGAACACATGCCGCAATTGATCGTCTGACAGTCGTCGCATTTATAGAGACGCTCAATAGGCCCTTCGAGGCGACAGCCCGAGCACTCTTTGATAGCTCCGTTATTGCGATCCTCCTCCGTCTTCGCCAGAATCGCCTTGAACCGTTTCTCAAGCCCGACCACTTCTCCGACCTGGCAGCCTTTCATGAAATGCGAAAATCCGACGAAAATGGTGTCGACGTAACAGCGGCCCAATTTCTCCGACTTGATATTGCAGCCAACACACAAGAACCCTTCGCCATTGTTTCGCTTGTCATTGCACTTCCTTGCAAAGGTAATGCCCGCATTCGACCGAGAAAGTACCGGCTCCTTCGAATACTTTGATGTTTCCTTTACATCCAAAGCAGATCGGATCGTTGAAAGGAGCGTTGTATTCGTATCCCTTCTCAGTCTTCGCGAAGGCCGGCTGATCGAGGAACGCCAACAGACCCCGCTGCGGCACGTTCGAAGGCCTCTTGGAGCAAGTGGCGCATCGAATCGCGTTGAACGTCTTGGAGAAGACGGGGCGACGAGCCTCTCCATCTTTGCAGTCGAAAGGCTTCTTGCAACCGGGGCAGTTGAACAGATCCGTGAACATCGTCGGCCGCCTGGAATTGGGAAATGATTGTGGAACAGAGCAGCGAGTAATAAAACTATTTTCGAAAGATAGCTTTTTGGGCTAGTTTTCTAGAATCTAAAATAAAATTCCGTTCGACAACCCGTACACTGAACGTCCACAGTTCACTAACGTACAACGCCTTTTGAGCTCAAGACCCATACTAAATCCACTTTCTATCGCATTTTTTCAAGGAACGGGTATAAAATCCTAAGCAACCCGCTACTTTCTATGCTCAAACTTTCCATTTTTGAACTTTTTACGCCTTTTAGCGCTTTTTTTACGAATCCCCACCGTAACGGTTTCAAATACCCGCCCGCGTTCAGAGGAGCCCTGCGTAGCCACACTGCGAGAAATTCCAAATTGTCACCCTTTTCGCGTTTCTCTTTTTCCGTTTTCTTGCTCTTGTGATTTCTTCATTTTTAGTTCCGATAAATTGGTATAATCGTAGATTTCTTAATTTCGCATATAGCCAGATTGAAGGGGGGGCCACGGGACCATAGGAGACCAACGCGACCTGGGGAGTTACGTGAGGAAAAAGAGCGCACAAGCAGCAAACTGGGACCAGAAAAAGAAAAATAAAAGATAGCACAATACCCGCCCAACGGGCCGCCCGAGGGCGCCCAACGCGCCGCCCCGCCCGGGCGCCCCATCGACCCACGAGCCCCCCCGAGCGACAGCCCCGGTGGCGAAGCAGGCAAGTGAAGCACTAACTAAAAACTAGAAAGTTTACACCGAACAACCGCCAAACGCCTAGAAAGGCCAAGTCGAAAACCCAGGGCCCCCCAACGAAGCCGCCAGATTTTGCGCGTCTTCGGTTTTCGCTCAAACGCGGGGACTTATAGTGTAGATCATGTAGAACGTTTACAGACCTATTCGCCATTTCTTTTTACTTTATCGTAACTTATCTTTTTTTCATGCTTGGTCTTTTCTTTGCTTACGCTATCCAGATCACCACCTTTTACAGAACAATGCCCGAAAAGCGCACCGAGCTGCTCGTGGCCCCGGTGCCGACCGGCGAGAAGAGCGAATTCCCCGAGTTGGCCCAGCTGGCGGCTCAGGTATCAGATTCCTGGGTTTTCTAAATCTGTTTTTTTTTCAGGTTGGCGATGGCCGTCTCCTGAAGATGGAGTACGACTACACAAAAGATGTCGACGCCGCCCTCCCAAATGCCGATATTCTTGCCAAGGTAGAGAATATATATTCCTCTCAATTTCCGCTTTTTTAGACTGGAAACGTGGCGGGTGCTGTCGAGTCGTTGAACACACTGGAGAAGCAGTCGCGTCTCGGCAGTGATATGAAGAGCAATGCCCGCGTCGTTCAACATATGGTCCAGTCAGTATTATGCTACTTTCAAAGATAATTCCTCTTTTTTTGTAGGATGTGCTTTGACGGGAAACAATGGGATCTGCTAAACGAGACAATTCTGGCATTGTCGAAGAAGCGGCTTCTCATCAAGGTGGCCATCGCTCGAATGGTTCGCAGCTGTTGTCAAATGGTTGAAAAGATGCCAACTGAAGAATTGAGGATGAAGCTCATCGAGACACTCCGCACTGTCACTGCTGGAAAGGTTTTTGAAAAGGATTTTAGGCCTAGAATTTGGATTTCATTAGATTTACGTGGAAGTGGAACGGGCTCGTTTGACGTCGTATGTCGTCAAGAAGCTTGAGGCACAAGGTTTCTCTTGTTACGAATTCTTTATAATAGCTCTCTTTTTGTAGGAAAATTGGAGGAGGCGGCGACGATGCTTCTCGAGCTCCAGGTCGAGACGTACGGCAGTATGGAGGTCAAGGAGAGGGTATTGGGTTGTTTTCTTTTCTGAAAAAGTGATTTTAGGTGGAATTCCTTCTGGAACAGATGCGACTATCTGTTGCTCGTGAAGACTACGTTCGTGCCAGCATCATTGCCAAGAAGATCAGCACCAAGTTCTTCACCAAGGAACCTGTTGAGGATCAGGTTTCGGCTAATTTTAAAGTGATTATTCTTCCAATTTAGGTGCAAAATCTGAAGCTCAAGTTCTACGAGTTGATGATCACCGTCGGCCTGCACAACAACAACTATTTGGACGTGTGCCGCCACTACAGGGCAATCCAAGAGACGCCAAAGATCCTCGGTGATCTGGAGAAGAACAAGATGGCCCTGAAGTGTGCCGTCATCTACGTGCTGTTGGCCCCGCATGGCAACGAGCAATGGGATCTCGTCCATCGTCTCGTTCAGATGCGCGATTTGGAGTCGATCCTCGAGTATAAGGTATTTTTGGCTTATCCAATAATTTGCTTGAATTTCAGAAATTCCTCGAGCTGTTCATCAACCAGGAGATCATCAGCTGGACCGAGTTGGGCAAGACGTACCAAGCACTCCTTCGCGTCGGCACCCCCGCCAATCCGGCTACTGGGGTTTGTAATAAAATTTGTTTGAAAACCATATTTTTAGATTTTCGACGACTCGGCCAATGGCAACAAGCGTTGGGAGGATCTGCACGTACGCGTTGGAGAACACGTAAGCTTTTCTAATTTTTTAAAGCTATTTTTGCCCTTTTCAGAACCTGCGCATGGTGTCGAAGTACTACACGCAGATCACGTTCGACCGCCTCGCCGAGCTGCTCGATTTCCCTGTCGCTGTACGTTGCCAGATCGTTGTTAATCTTCGTTTGTTTTAGGAGATGGAGCAATTCCTGTGCAATCTGATCGTCAACGGCATGATCCCGAATGCGAAGATCGATCGCCCGAATCGTATCGTCAATCTGAAGGCCAAGAAGGTACTTTAATCGATCAGGTTTTTTACTTATCCATAAACAGGCACACGTCGACCATCTCGATCAATGGGCCGACAATGTGCGACGATTGACCGACACCCTCAACAAGGTCATTTTACCAGACGATTTCGATTTACTTTTCTATTTTCCAGGTCTCGCATCTGATCCTGAAGGAAGAGATGGTGCACAAGAATCTCGAACAAGTCTCCGCCATCCATTAAATATTCCCCCTCATTCAATGCTTTTTCTAAAAAAACGATGACTTGTGCTTGTTCTCTTTTGTGTGTTTGTGATTTGATTGATTGATCGATCGAGTGAATATTTATTTCCTCTTTGCCCTCCCCAAATGATGCCGGTTTATTCGCAGTCTTTTCTTCTTTTCCTCCTCATTCGTCTCGCCCTCTGTTTTGATTGCGAATCCTTAAAATTACATAAATATCGGTGCCCATTTTGTGTTTGGTCGGAAAATGCACAGCAGATTATACCTATCACAGGAATACCTGGGCTTGGTAGGCTTGGACGGCCACGGATATCCGGGGTTTGTGAAAAATTGTAAAAGATGAAGATGATAACCAAAAAAGTAAATTACTATTTTTTTACAAAAAATTGCCTTGGAGGGTAGATACATCATTTGATTTCAGGTTACCAACGATGCTGACGCAAGCCTTCGACTGCCCCGGCTGTCGGAAGCCGTTCCACCGCAAAGAGGGGGAGCCGAGAACTCCCGTCTTCTCGACCGCTTACCAAGCCATTCGGCACAATTGTGGCCCCACTAATCGCCAAAACCAGTCCGGGCTAGTTGTGATTACGAAAAACACGCCAGCCCGGAAAACGCTACTAGGAAAAATCATTGCATATCGGGAAAACCATTACGGCGCTGCGAAAAAACCGATTTTGGGTTTAACTAAATAAATAACCAAAACTGGTTACCAAGAAAAATACGCTAGCCGTCAGGCAAGGCGGACCCGCTTCGATGGGCGCCGCTCCACCTTTCGAAACGGGGCGCCTGGCCGTGCGCGCCTCGCGCCCCGATTCGAAACCCTACGAGCTCGCACCCATCCGAAGCGACAGGCCCCGGGTGGCCGAAGCCATTTTAGGAAAACCGAGGCAGGATAGCCTTCTTGAAATAGTTTTCCCATTTTATAGGCCTCCCACCTCAAGCCCTAGTTAACCCTTGAAACCAAACCATGAAAACTGACAATGAAATTTTTTTTCCCTTCAAAACACAACTTCACGATTCGGGAATGTTTTTCGTAATCAGCGCAAAAATCTAGCCCGGAAACATGAGGTTTTGGATATAGTGGCGAAATTAGAGCCAGCCATTCAATGCCGGAAGTGCTCGCGAAGGCCCTCTTGTGGCCCAGAAGGGACTGATGTCCTTTCTCGATCAGCCGGCCTTCGAGAAGATGGAGAAAGGCTACAACTTTACCATGCCCATCAACAACCCGAAATGTTTTGGATGCAAGAAGGGGAATCAAAGTGGCCGAGGGCCACCGAGCCTACCCAGGACTTTGCGGGCACTATCTTTGTGGTAGATGCAACAGCAGCCGTATCTTTAATGGGCCAATTGCCTGTAGGCCTTGCGGCATCAGTTCTGACAAGCCGAACTCCTACGCCGATGACCGACTGGTTGCTGACTTCTCCAATCTCATGCAGGCGATAAAGGAGCACGAGTTGAATGAGCGCTTGACTGCCCAGGAGAAGGAGATAGCAGAGTTCAAGGCGATCGAGGCAAAGACAGAGGAGCTTCGTCGCTGCGGAGCTCGGAAGAAATGTATGAATTGCGACAGCGAGCAGCCCGTCGAGCGTCTCTACAATTGCCACGAGTGCAAAATGGCCATTTGCGGTGGATGCTCGTTCGATTCGCACCACGAACATGCTGTCGTCAAACTTCTTGGCATTGAGCTTGATTTGCTCGGGAAGAACAACGATAAGAAATATGAGGAGATCTTTGGCGGACTGCGTGGCAATCTGAAACACATCCAAACGACTATCGACGAAGCTGTGGCCAGGGTGGTGATCGCTGGAAAGTATCGTTTGACCAAGGTGACCAAGTGCTCGAAATACTTGGATGCTCAAAAGATCGTGGCGAGGGTGGACAATGCTGCCGACAAATTCGAGAAGCACTGTGAGGTCTACATTCCCGTTGCACGGGAACTGGCAAACCAGTTGACTGAACTCAGCGAAGAAATGATGAATGATGAGGAATGACAAGCGCTAAATTGACATGTTCTTATTTTCGGCGATATTTCACATTGTTATTCTTATTTTGATAAAAATTGTTACTGCTCGGAAAGCTGTTTTGTTTGGAGAAAAGGTTTATCTCCTAAAACAATTCATTAAAGCTATTGGGGACCGTCTCGAAAAGTTGAAAAGTTCGTTTTTAATGGTCAACTGAGCTGAGGTAGATTTATCCCTTTAATTTCAGGTGTTCAACGATGCTGACGAAGCTCTTCAGCTGCTCAGCCTGCCATCAGTCCTACGACCGGAAGGAGGGAGAGCTTCGATGTCCGGTGTGGTGGATGAGGCACGACATGATCTGTTGCCGTCGCTGCACCAATCAGGAGGAGCAGAACTTGGTGCAACGAGGCCTCATGGAATTCCTCGACCAGCCGGCATTCAACAAGGTCTACAATGGATATCACTACTGCGGTCCCTTCAACAATCCAATGTGCTTCGGATGTCAAGGCACCATCAAAATATCGGATGGATGCGCCGCTTTCATCGCGCCCTGTGGACATTATCTTTGCCAGGGCTGCGATCTCTATCGAAAGAACAACCCTCCACAACTCTGCTGCCGGAAGTGCCGATTCTGGCCAGATAATCGGACCCCTTATCCGACAGACATCCTATTGGCCGCTTTTTCACACCAAGCAAAGGATGTGGAGATGGAAGAATTGATTCGTCACTTGAAGGAACGCGAGACAGAAATAGAAGAGGTCCGGGCTGACGCGAAGAGACACGAGGAGATTGAGCAAAAGCAGCTGGAGAACCGGGAATTCGTGAAAATGTGCTCGGAATGTGATATCGAGCGGCCGATCGAGCGTCTCTACAAATGCTACGATTGCCGGACGATCGTTTGTGGAGATTGTGTCTTCGATTCACACCAAATACATGTTGTGACCAAACTACATGACGCAGAATTCGACGAGCTGGAGCAGCACAGCATTGTGAAGTATGGCGAGACGGTTGGAGCTGTTCGTGGAAACCTGAAATACATCCACACTGCTATTGATGAGGCCGTGGAGAAGGTGTTGGTTGCTGGAAAGGATCGTTTGGCGAAGATTGCTAAGTGCTCGAAATACGTGGATGCTCACAAGATCGTGTCGAAGGTGGACGATGCTGCCGACAAGTTCGAGAAGCACTGCGAGGTCTATATTCCTGTTGCGCGTCAGTTGGCCTCCGAACTGACAGACCTCGGCGAAGAATTGATAAAATCTGAGGAATAAAATGCTATGCACTCGTTTTATGCTTGCTTTATGCGTCGCTTTCTGAATAAAAGTTTTGTTTGGTGACTGGATCTGTCTGTTTTGCCTAGAACTACTTTTCTGGTCGTTCACCACCGCGTAAACGCGTATTTGAAAGCATTTGGAAATGTGTCAGATGAGTCTTGTTGGTCAGGGGTCAGTGTGTTTCTTTCATGGATCTTTATTGAGCTTTTCTCATCGTTCCCTACGTTGTTTGATGCGCCTAACCATTCTAACACTTGATTTCCAGGTATTCGTCGATGTTCACCGAAGTTTTCAATTGCCCCGAGTGCGAGAAGCCGTTCGATTGCCAGGAGGGAGAGGAGCGAATCCCCGTTTTCTCCAAGTCTCAACTAGTTGTTCGCTGCCGAATTTGCTCCCCGCGCCTCCCGACCGCGCCACAACGAGGTCTGATGGACTATCTCAATCAACCGGCATTCAAGAAGATGGAACGTGGATATGAATACAAAGGCCGGTCGAACAAAGAGCCAAGATGTTTCGGATGCAAGGAGAATATGAGCATGTGCTGGGACGTATGCGATCTTCGGATGACCCTTTTTGCCGCCGAATGTGGCCATTTTCTTTGCCAGCACTGCAATTACAAACGCCGTCGCGGCGAAGCCTTCTCCTGCGATGTGTGCAACATCAACTATGTTGATAAGTCGATCGTCTTTCATGCAGATACCATATTGCCGGCTTTTTTACACTTCACCCAGGGCCATGCCTGGGGTATGGACGAAATGATGGAGACTACTTCCGCAAAGGAGGAAGAGGACCGTCGCACCGGAGCCGTTAAAAACTGCTCGGACTGCCACCGAGAGCAACCCGTGGAACATCTCTTCAACTGCGCCGATTGCAAGACGATCAACTGCGGCAGTTGCTCGTTCGTTTCTCATCGCGAACACGATGTTGTTCGTCTCCTTCAAGCTGCTCTCGTCGAACTGGAACAGAAGAACGATAAACGGTATACGGAAACGCTCACAGGACTACACGGCAATCTGAAAAGCGTTCAAAAAGGTATCGATGAAGCCGTGGAGCAGGTGTTGGCTGCCGGAAAGCAGCGTTTGGCGCTCATCTCGAAGCGGGCCAAATATGACGATGCGCAGAGGATCGCGATGACGGTGGAGAAAGCGGCCGAGGACTTCGAGAAGCATTGCGAGGAATATATTCCCGTTGGCCGCAAGTTGGCCACAAAATTGACCGAGCTAGGCGAAACATTGGTGCCGAAAAAGAAAAGGAGCTGAGAGCTTCCGATAATTTGTTATTTTCGCATGTTGTTTGTTGGATAAAGTTATTCGTTAAGAAAAATTGTTGTCTTTGAAAGAAAGTTCACCGCTTAGAGGAATACATCAGAGAAAATGCTATTTAGGGCTTCTTCAATGTCTAGGTGTGCTTGTCCACGTTCTGGCACTCTGTTTGGGATCTTTGGAGCCAAAAATGAAGGAATACTAGAATGACTGAACGCTGAGCATACCTTCCCTACTGTCTAAAACTGTTCCACTCTTTTCCTACGTATTTGATGCTGGTTCTAATATTTCTTTTTTCAGGTAATCGCCGATGTTCACTAACATCTTCAACTGCGGCAAGTGCAACCTGCCGTTCGATTTCAACGAGGGAGAGCCGAGAAGGCCCGGCTACTATCCTCCCAGCCACCGTGCCCATTGCCTCACTTGCTACCCAACATTCACCCCGATCCAACGAGGCCTCATGGATTTCCTCAAACAACCAGCATTCAAAAAGACGGACAAAGG